AACTTATTTATATTGTGTGAAATATTCATTAAGAAATGTCTAAAATGTTATTCTACAACGAAGTGGAATAAAATTAGTAATTGCATTGTACATATATATGTCAGTCAAGTTTATCATTGTTTATTCCATTGTAAATATATTTATTAGCAACAGATGCGATAATGTTATAATCAGTTAATCGAGAAAAATGAGATTTTTATTTATTTTTATTTTGCATGTTGATGAAATTCTTTTCTTGCCTTTGTTTTACGTTTACTGAATCTGAGTACGAAAATTAGCACAGCATGCTGATACACTGTACAAGATACACTTTACAAGATACACTGTACAACATACACTGTACAACATACACTGTACATATACAAGATACACTGTACATGTACAAGTTACACTGTACAAGATACACTGTACAAGATACACTGTACATGTACAAGATACACTGTACAAGATACACTGTATCAACATACACTGTACAACATACACTGTACATATACAAGATACACTGTACATGTACAAGTTACACTGTACAAGATACACTGTACAAGATACACTGTACATGTACAAGATACACTGTACAAGATACACTGTATCAACATACACTGTACAACATACACTGTACATATACAAGATACACTGTACATGTACAAGTTACACTGTACAAGATACACTGTACAAGATACACTGTACATGTACAAGATACACTGTACAAGATACACTGTATCAACATAGCAAGTTTCTTCTTTTGCAATTTGGTGTAATGGGGAACATGTATGTAATATAACGTTTTCTCACCCAGATAAGAAAAAAGGTTAAAACTGCTGCATTTGAAACACGATTTCTCCCCGTGGTATGATTTCATGTTAGGGGTTTATAAGCAGGTGAGTAAAATAGGGTCGCTTTCGCAGACATTTCGACACGACCTCACACACTAGTGAGAACTCGTGTCGTCGAAGAAATTGTGACGTAATAAGGTCATTCATTTCTGTTTACAATATTCTATCGCTTATTTTGACAAAAAAAAATCGCTGGGGCTACGTATTAACATGCATAAACATTGTCAAACCAGTGTTCATTCGCAGAAAGGATTCTGTGTTTGTCACATGCGGAGGCTTTCAATTCTGCATGCTTACTGTCCAAAAAAACCACTCCATATTATGGTTATTTCTTCATAGCAACACAATTGCTATGGTAGGACATCTACGCATGCGCATTGAAAAAAACTGCACCCAAATTAAACAACATGATGTTTATAACAGAAATTGGTAAAAACATTAAGGTTGATTTTTTTTACTTTTTATGAGGCCAAAAATGACCCATAACGCCCAAGGTCCTTTTAGCGATTTGCAGCTAAAATCTAGAATGTTAGATTTTTATCGATATAAGACTAGAGTGATTACAACCCGTTTCATGTCATCTTGTAACAAAACCCAATCCTCACTGTACAATCTTATTTGTCTTGTTTAAAATAATTGTTTTATTAAAAGATTCAATCATTTGAAATGGCTTTTTCTTCTTTTTTCTCTGTTTGTGCAATTTGAAATGATAAATGGACAGAAAATAGAAAGAATTCAATGAATGAAGGAGATTTTTGTATTATGACACCGTCAGAATGTCATACGAAGAATTGCATATCAACTCTGAAGTTTACAGACGAATACAATATGCTAGGAAATGTCTGTATTTTGTTCTTACGTTACAAGGGACATAACTCGTCCTTATTTTGTCAGAATGGTTTACTCGATAGCCAGGGGTTACGCTTACTTACGATTACCCCTGGATATCGAGACCCGATTGGAATCTGTCTAGAGCGTCTGACTGCTTGCTCGGCTCGATAGTTGCATAAATGATGTTATTTCTTGTCTGGCTTTACTGTAAATATCAAATATCGAGTCAAATATAACGTTTTGTGTTGATATGTGAAACACAATATAAGAAAACTCAAGATATACGTACGGGAAATCGTCACTGTTCTTTAAAATGAATGTTATCTAAATGCTTAAAATCATCATATTTGTTGATTTCATTCGACAGGTAGGAAATGTCAACATTGATACATGTAATTACCCTATAATTGTTCAACATTTGCCCACGATATATACGAAAATATACGGTCAGTTTCTGTAGCAATGTTACCATTAGGTCTAGCGCTGCAATGAATAAACATCTAAATTACCTGATAATGTGAATAATTGGCGAAAGATCCTGTCATATCGAGGTAATTGTAAGGTCACATGTAATGCTAGCACTAGAGAGAAAAAAACACAACCATGGTAGGGATTGAAATGCTGCTATGCTTCAATATATAGATAGATGATATTCAGCATATTTATTTAATTTTAATAATTCTGAATCTGCCTTGAACTTTTGTTAATATGTACTTGTGATAGTGTAGAGAAATGCTTTGTATAAGGTGTATAACTTGTGCCCAATTCCGCTGCTATAAAAAGACAATATAATATGTTAAATCGAACAGAATTGTTGAAATCGGAAATCAAGTCTTTATGACCTCATTTTTTACTGCGTAGTTTGGAAATCTTCATGTAGGAAATCCGGACAATAAACAAACCCGTATATAGGGTGCATCTAACAAGAAAATACGTTAACCTACAACATACTATCCTTACTAATTATAACATTATATTAAAAACCAATAATATCAAAAAGTGGTAATTCCTGGATTTTACAAAAGACGTCCTGACGGGAGCAACATATGGACCAGGAAAAATTATAGCTTTAGGGTTTTTATATTAGTTCATGTTGTCGTTCCTTTTCGATGTCTCTTCAATACTTTCTTAATTTGTCTTTTTAAACTCAGTTATTGTCCCTGTCTGTTGACACTACAGTGTATGCTCCTATATCACATTTTTCCTGGGCCACTATACCGGAGTCTATTCCAGTAAGTATAGCCAGCAGGTGAGGCCTATTGCTACAGTATATATATATATACGTGTACAACATGCCATACATATACACGCGGTAGGTAAACGAAATCTGGATTTGGCTAGGGTATGGAGCTTAATGACACGTTATTTGTTTGTTTGTTTGTTTGTCTGTTTGTTTGTCTGTTTTGGATTAAACGTCCTCGCAACAGCCAGGGTCATATGAGGACGGGTGTCTGGGGAGACACCACCTGAAACAGAAAGTAGATTGAAAAGAAAGAAGACAGGAAAGATACTTTATGACAAAAATCCCAAATTGTTTATTGCAATCTCTCCATGTCCTCGTCGAAGTAAACACGGAAGAAGAAAAAAAAATGACACGTTGAATACAATTCTAGATATATACACAATGCCATGTATATGTTTTTTATGCGAAATTGCTGAGATTGATCATTTTCAATCTCATGAATTGCATATTTCGTTTTCAGGTTAAGTAATTATGTAAATTTACTGATACAACTGAGTTCCGAAGCCACCAAAAATAATTATCCCACGTAATACCGTGAATTTACGTAACAGCTGAATGAGCCCGCGAAATAAACATGAATCAGGCACCGAGAGAGGTTACTACATGTACATGTACCTACGTTGAATGCTTATCTCTAGAGCCATACCTTCTGTTGTAATAGCTTACGTGTCACGTGTATATACACGTTCCTTGTTTACATGTACATGTGTGTATACGTGTGTAAGGTAAGTGTACACGGTACACGCTCACAGTAAGTAGCTATAGATGTACACAGGAATAGGCACATTGTTTACACCAGTATCTTAGACTTATCTTCAAAGGGTTGTGGCACGGCTTCGTCTATTTATGTACGTCTCTAGTGCCTTAATTCATGGTGGTTGAATATTGTCGAATGTAATTATTTGGCGTTTAATGACACATAGGGTCGTTTACAGTATACATCGTACACCGTACGTTACATGTAGTTCATGTCTACGCAAGAGGAAATGCATTAACTGTTTTGTCAATGTGTCGCTAATATGTAATTGACAGAACCGATATAATACATTAATTTAAGCTTTTCCGGGTTAAATAAATACTTTTATTATGATTTTATCATATTCATGTGATATTTTTTCGTTTTTAGGTGATTATAACATACATTTTGTATTTATAGAAAGTTTTAACCAATTAGATAAAGTTTGTAACGAGTCATTAACTCTTCGTTTCCGTAGCTTTGTCCAAAGCCTAGTCACCTTCACACAAACTTGATGCATATTTGAAAAAAAATGTTCAATTATAGAAAAAAATCCTCAAATTTTATTTTTACGAAAGAGTTCCTTTGCCTTTAATTGATAAATCAGAATCGTTGGTATAGCTTTATTTATAATTTTAAGGTTTATTAGATATCATCGTTGATAAAATTATGTTAAGTTGATTGTAAGCTTACAAGGCAATGAGAAAATGTCAAGGAACATTATAGCCAACGGGACCAGCTGTTATCGGTTTCAATTAGGAATATGAAATTAATCGAGTCTTGATTTAAAACACTGGGTAAAATATGATGCCCTAAGTATATCAACATGGTACAGACACGCATAATATCCTACCAAGTGACGTCACACACTCTGGCACCCGGAACGAGATAAAATATCCCCCAGTCGTGATGTGTATTCCTGCTTCAGTGTGGGCCGATTTTGTACTACAGACGATTGTGTTTAGGGCCAGGTACATCCATGCAGCCGGTCGGGGAGTAAAATTTGTCGAAACTTTTCTGCCTTACAGCTCAATGTTATTATAAACACAAGGTGGGGAATCTGATATGCACATGGAAGGGCGGAACGCGCTTTGGAGAGATGCTGGCATACCGAACAAAATTAATTTGCAGTGATTATAAGCGAACGTCTATCAAGAGGAAAGTACGTGTAACTCGAAACGCAAAGCAGGCGCAGTAAGGAAGGTCATTCATAGATGAATGGGAGGCGAGCATGCCTCGGAGAAGTTATTGAGATGAGGCCAACACGTAAACTCGGATTTGGTGATGTTCTTTGCACGAGAATCCCCAAACTATGACAGTCATCTTTCCTGATTCTGCTACTAGAAAGAACAAATAAGTCGTACAATTTCCACACCAAGCATGAATCGACAGTGTTCAGACAAATCATTGCCCGAGTCCAATGGAATGACGACATCGTCCGGGAAAGTAGCCGACTTGACCGACCTCACAGGAAAGACTCTCTCCACCAGGAAACCAGCAGGGACGGTGGAATCTGGGGTACTGATAAGGAAAACTTCTATCAGGGTAAGTTACAACGTCTTATCAATTTGAATGAATGATTTAATATTTCTGTTTGTTTACTTCAGGACTTTATTGACTTAAGCGTTGTCCGTTTGATTACTTTTCATGTTTATTGATAAAATACCGGACACACTCGGAAAGTCACACACACGTATACAGAGAAATATCTCACACTTTTTACTAGATTCATAGATCCTGTCTTCTATACATACATTATTTATTATGTATACACACATTATCAATCCCCCCGCAAACATAAAACGCAAATCCTCCTCCCAAACACACACAGTCTCCACATCAAATACCTAGTAGTTTATATGCAGAACAAATAATAGATAAGTAACTCCTATTATAAGTTAGGTTTAAATCAGCCACCCTCGGTAGGAGGTTGGTTGCGATCTGCTCTAATAATTTTATTACATTACATTTCTTAAAAATGCATTCATACGTCACGTCTTTAATGAGGCCTTAAAGTTATGCCAGTCTCGCCCAGGTTTGATCCAGTCCTGTTACAGTATCTGGTATATATACAAGTCCCATAAATATCAAGTATACCTTAATTAAGATCAGTGTTGATTGCTTTAGCATGTGTATATATATATATGCCCATGATGTTGAGATAATTGAGAAAATAACCGTGTTTTAACTCTTCTAAATTCTGGACGGGCAAGGACTTCCCGCATCACATGCTTGGATTAAAGTAACCATGTCGTATGTTTTGTTATTAGACATTATTTCAGTTGCATTTAAGGTTCAGGAAACCCGCCTAGAATTAACACCTCTCAGTGTCGTGACGTGTCTCATCAGTTACTGTTGTCGACTTTAAGATCGGGCATTGTCCGTTAATACTATTTTATTTACATTTTACCTCACTTTAACAATGACATTAAGAGGGACATGAAACGGAACAACGTTATGCACATACTGTAGTAATTTTATTTATCTTTAAGTAACATACATGTACCTATGTCCTTAACCGCCGATGTACCACACTATACACCGCTATAGACAAGCAGTATATTTCGCTATATATACATTGTACCATTTACTGTCGTCATTGTTCAAACGTGTAGGATAATTAGACAGGGTCTTGCTATCTCAGAAACACGCTTATTACATGCTTATTCTCATTCCAATTTGAATTATTGATTTTTGCACAGGGTCCTTAATATTTGTTTAATTAATGTCTGTTTTCACCTTTGCATGGATGAGAGGGAAATGACGTGTCAACAGCTACAGAGCCACTGAAGATATACTCAAAACGAACGGTTAGGAATCTGTACTTTAAGCAGTAATAAGAATAATATGGCATAGTACACCAAATGACGATTGAGTGCACCAAGTGTAGATATAATTCACTTAGGTTGTTTCAGTACCATTAGGATTTATTTTTTCTAAAAGATTATTTAGTACGATAAGACTTTGTTCAGCTCGCTATGAGTAGATTCAGTACACTAAGAACTTATTCAGTACACTAAGAACTGGTTCAGTACACTAAGAACTGATTCAGTACACTAAGAACTGATTCAGTACACTAAGAACTGATTCAGTACACTAAGAACTGATTCAGTACACTAAGAACTGATTCAGTACACTAAGAACTGATTCAGTACACTAAGAACTGATTCAGTACACTAAGAACTGATTCAGTACACTAAGAACTGATTCAGTACACTAAGAACTGATTCAGTACACTAAGAACTGATTCAGTACACTAAGAACTGATTCAGTACACTAAGAACTTATTCAGTACACTAAGAACTGGTTCAATACACTAAGAAATTATTCAGTACACTAAGAACTTATTCAGTAAATGAAGAACTGATTCAGTACACTAAGAACTGGTTCAGTAAATGAAGAACTGGGTCAGTAAACTAAGAACTGGTTCAGTATACTAAAACTGGTTCGGTAAACTAAGAACTAGTTCGGTATACTAAGAACTGGTTCAGTACATTAAGAACTGATTCGGTACAATAAGAACTGGTCCAGTATACTAAAACTGGTTCAGTAAACTAAGAACTGGTTCGGTATACAAAGAACTGGTTCAGTACACTTAGATCTGGTTCGGTATACTAAGAACTGGTTCAGTATTCTAAGAACTGGTTCAGTACACTTAGATCTGGTTCAGTACAATAAGAACTGAATAAATACACTAAGCACTGGTTCAGTATACTAAGAACTGGTTCAGTACAATAAGAACCGGTTCAGTACACTAAGAACTGGTTCAGTACAATAAGAACTGATTCAGTATACTAAGAACTGGCTCAGTAAACGAAGAACTGGTTCAGTACAATAAGAACTGGTTCAGTAAACGAAGAACTGGTTCAGTACACTAATAACTGGTTCAGTACAATAAGAACTGGTTCAGTAAACGAAGAACTGGTTCAGTACAATAAGAACTGGTTAAGTAAACGAAGAACTGGTTCAGTACACTAAGAACTGGTTCAGAACAATAAGAACTGATTCAGTATACTAAGAACTGGGTCAGTAAACGAAGAACTGGTTCAGTACAATAAGAACTGGTTCAGTACACTAAGAACTGGTTCAGTACACTAAGAACTGGTTCAGTAAACGAAGAACTGGTTCAGTACACTAAGAACTGGTTCAGTAAACGAAGAACTGGTTCAGTATACTAAGAACGGGTTCAGTACACTAAGAACTGGTTCAGTACAATAAGAACTGATTCAGTATACTAAGAACTGGGTCAGTAAACGAAGAACTGGTTCAGTACAATAAGAACTGGTTCAGTAAACGAAGACCTGGTTCAGTACAATAAGAACTGGTTCAGTAAACGAAGAACTGGTTCAGTATACTAAGAACTGGTTCAGTACAATAAGAACTGGTTCAGTACACTAAGAACTGGTTTAGTACAATAAGAACTGAATAAATACACTAAGAACTGGTTCAGTATACTAAGAACTGGTTCAGTACACTTAGATCTGGTTCAGTACAATAAGAACTGAATAAATACACTAAGAACTGGTTCAGTATACTAAGAACTGGTTCAGTACACTTAGATCTGGTTCAGTAAATAAAGAACTTATTCAATACACTAAGAACTGATTCAGTATACTAAGAACTTGTTCAGTAAATGAAGAACTGAGTCAGTAAACTTAGATCTGGCTCAGTATACTAAGAACTGGTTCAGTATACTAAGAACTGGTTCAGTACACTTAGATCTGGTTCAGTAAATAAAGAACTTATTCAATACACTAAGAACTGATTCAGTATACTAAGAACTTGTTCAGTAAATGAAGAACTGAGTCAGTAAACTTAGATCTGGCTCAGTATACTAAGAACTGGTTCAGTATACTAAGAACTGGTTCAGTACACTTAGATCTGGTTCAGTAAATAAAGAACTTATTCAATACACTAAGAACTGATTCAGTATACTAAGAACTTGTTCAGTAAATGAAGAACTGAGTCAGTAAACTTAGATCTGGTTCAGTATACTAAGCACTGGTTCAGTATACTAAGAACTGGTTCAGTACACTAAGAACTGGTTCAGTACACGAAGAACTGGTTCAGTAAACGAAGAACTGGTTCAGTAAACTTAGATCTGGTTCAGTACAATAAGAACTGAATAACTACACTAAGAACTGGTTCAGTATACTAAGAACTGGTTCAGTACAATAAGAACCGGTTCAGTACACTAAGAACTGGTTCAGTACAATAAGAACTGATTCAGTACACTAAGAACTGGTTCAGTACAATAAGAACTGATTCAGTACACTAAGAACTGGTTCAGTACAATAAGAACTGGTTCAGTACACTAAGAACTGGTTCAGTAAACGAAGAACTGGTTCAGTACACTAATAACTGGTTCAGTACAATAAGAACTGGTTCAGTAAACGAAGAACTGGTTCAGTACAATAAGAACTGGTTCAGTAAACGAAGAACTGGTTCAGTACACTAAGAACTGGTTCAGTACAATAAGAACTGATTCAGTATACTAAGAACTGGTTCAGTAAACGAAGAACTGGTTCAGTACAATAAGAACTGGTTCAGTAAACGAAGAACTGGTTCAGTACACTAAGAACTGGTTCAGTACACGAAGAACTGGTTCAGTACACTTAAGTACTGCATCAGTATGCTAAAAACGAATTCAGTACAATAAGAATTGATTCAATACGATTAGATTTGATTCCGTTCACTTAAAATTTGATTCATCTTACAAAGAATGGCTTCAGTATAAATTTCAATGTAAACGATTTATTGTTGTACAATTTGAATTTTTTTCTCCTTCTTTATATTTCGCTTTAGATAAGCATATGATTTAATTTGACGAAATGTTAAGGTATCCATGTTGTTTTCCTGTTTTGTTAAGAAAAGTGTAGTTTTGTGAAAGTTACGTTACACCAACTGTCGTTAATCAATAATACGACTATCTACGTACGTGTGTATCTTATATTAAAGGGTAATAACTCTTACGCTTTTAAAGGGAAAACTAACTTTATACAATACATTGGTTTAGTAAATTAATATTACGATGCAGTGGCATTGTAAACAAAAAAAATTGTAAAAAAATGCATTATTACAAAGAAATATTGTTTAAAAAAATAGAGAAAAATTTGGAAAGGGTGGGGTCGGGGTGGGGCGGTGAAGTTTACAATACATACAGCGTGGTGACTAGAGATTTTATGTAATATTTGAATTTTTTTTTATAGATGACTCGGTTGTTATAAATGTAATTTTTCTTTTGTTTTCAGCGTCGCATGTCCACGGAAACCGGGGATGGCGCGAATGAAGTGATATACGGAAATCAGACAAAAGAGTACAGTCGTCTCCGGAAGGAAATAGTGTCTAGTCCCGCGGTTACAAAAGCGCTTGAAGGTCTACGGGAACGCTGGAAAATGCTAATGTTTATGCATGAAGACTGTTTAGACATGATACAGGACCGGAAGGACAGACACAAACAAAGGCGGAAGTGCAGGGAACGCCGGGAAATCTTTGCTTCCTGTATTATATACACCGGAATTTTTATGCCAATAACAATTCTGACATTGACAATCTTGCTTATCATATTCTAATAGAAAATCTAGTGAGTGGAAAATCTAGTGAGAAAAATGCATTTTTTTAAGACTATTCTATGGAGTTGTAGAAATATTTTACACGAGTTATCGTTCAACATGTTTTCTCAGGATCAAACATATTTTGAATATTAAAATCATCATTTTCATCATCATCATCATCATGCTTATTCCTCAATATAAAAAAAAAATTCTCAACGAAATGAATAAAATAAAAGTCATATAAACCCTACATAACTGAGACAACATATATATTTATCTATATCAATTTTACCATTAATCTACTAAAAATGGTAGTTTCTACGCTCAGTTATTTAGGAGTGGGACAACTGGTTCGCCCGTTGTCAGTATAATGTGAACGGGTGGGGTGACCTGATGGGAGTCTTCGGCAGTATGTTTCAGTGAGGTAGCACTACAAAGTCGGCATCAGTTCCGCGCTACCACAAGAAGACAAACACGAACATATCGCAGCTTCCCAAACACACACGCATACACTACACGCATGCATCTTGCACACAGGGGAGGTCGTCTATTAAATGACCATAGCTGTTGATAGGACGTTAAACAATACTAAACCAAAACAAACCATTCGACGAAATGGACACCACAAATACATGTATGTAACGGCCATAAACCCTTTAATTAAATACTTGATTGTTATATTCAGTTCACAGTGTAATTACGTTTACGTTGACTTTATTTCCAGTGTTACAGTATAATTGTCGTTGTCGGCTCGTCCATATCGAACATTGAACACTTTTAAAGGTTTAACAGATAGGCATTTAGTTTGAATTTCCTTTTGCTTTGAGTTGTTGTCCCTGGTATCGGTTTTAGCACGGTCATGGTTTTTTTTTTATTTCAGAAATTGTTCATACAATGCAAAAGTACAAATGTATTGCACATATAATAATCATGTAACTGAAAATCTCACACACACACAAACACACACACACACACACACACACATCCACACACACACCTACACACACACACCTACACACACAAATTTTACTTCCAATTTTAGGTTTTCATTTGCATTGCATTTATGTACATGTCAAAAAGGGAGGGAAGAAAACGGAGAGAGAAAGAGACAAGGCTAGAGAGAAAGAGAGAGAAAGAAAGAGAGAGGGGGTGTGGTATTCAAATAATATCTATAAATATATGTGTATGACTGGCAAAGGAAAATAGAGGGAAGTAAAAAGCATGTGTTGTCGACTGCAAATGTCAATATATATATATATGTTTATAGTAGATAATTAATGAACAAGTCATTGTGAAGGAAAATATAGAATAAAATAATAAATCTGTCAGATCTACCGCTAAGCCTTTCTGCCTTCTATATTTATCACCGTTAGCTGATATATATAGTTATAGTTATAAAACTAGCTTGTTGTCTTATAGAAAGAACAAATAGATACACAAAACTCATATACTAGTGACCAATAATATAACATACATCGTTGTAAACACACACACACATATACATATGAATATTCTTTTGATTTAACGACTTGTGTAACAACTGTATGCCTTATGAGTTATGTGTGAGACAAGTGATATATCTTCTTTATATCAAGCTTTTTCAGCTTGATGTAAATGAAAGTAAACTTAAATATTCATATTTTCTTTACGATTGAACTTGAAAATGAAATATGCAATGATACCTATATCAAGGAAATTAAAATGGTCATCCACAGGTAATACATACGGCGATACTCATATTACTCCACAACCATTTCAGATAAATTGAATGTAAATATATGCCGTAACGTATCATGAAAGTGATAAAACTGGATATAATTGGTGTTGTGCCTTATTACATGTAGAGCGACGATACCTGAGAGAGGAGACACCGTGACGGTCAACTAAGGACAGCAGCAGACACGCTTGAATAATTAAACATACATTAGATCTCACTCGTGTAAATCGTGTCCTGTATATACCGTATCATTTCAGATTCGGTTAAAAGGTACACATTACCATCAATTCAGTAAAACATATTATTGACTTTAACTGTAATAAAATACCTGTCATAACGTTTCATTCTGTGGTGATTAACATCAGTACTCCAGTTGGATTTTAATGGACATGGCTCGGGCAATTTTTCATTTAGCGGAGTTGCAAGTTTTTCACATCGTCTTACAATATCAGTTACTGCATCATCGGTGTTTTTTTCTAGTACAGGTCTCTTGTAGGTCTTTCACAATAAATCGGCAAACAAGTATATCGCAATACACTGGTATATCGTACTGTACCACAAATACAGAGATGAAATATTGCTGTATCGCTTATATTTATGTATCTCATTCTGCTTGGTGTTTTAACTTTGCAAAATACTACGTATCGAATTCTAACAGATATGCCTATAAGCATAAAACAGGCTTTTTTATAATGGTGGGAATTAGTTCAAATTTTGTAATCGATGGTTGGTTTGACAAAAATCTTAAATCTATGTGACCCATATTATATATGATTAAGTTTGATAACATTCTGACAACAACTTATTTTAAAATCGAGCACATATTTCCTTTGGAAATATATCGGGATACTGTATTATATATGTGATGATGTATGTTAATTTTGTAAGAACAGCACAATCAAATGAATCTTCTGCCACGTGCTTCCATTTTTTTTTATTCACCGGAAGTTCTCTCAAAAAAAAAAGAAGGTACATTCCAATTCTGATACATAGGACCCGGAGACGGGCATATTCCGGAATTCGACTTCCCTACATTTCATCACCAGTATACAGCCATATACACAACATCCCGGCCCCAACTTTAAAATTTGAGATACGCAAATTTTATGACTGGCGATGAAATGCAGGAAAGAAGAACATTTTACAAATCAATAATGAACAAATTACATGAGGAAGCAAAAATAGGAAAAATACCATAAGATCAACCTGCATAATGCATTTGAGGCATAGTAACAATTACTTCAAATATCCATCAAATACTATAAGCAGGAACCAGCTATAACAACTGTATGGTTTCCTACAAACCACTAGAAAGTACAAATAATGCACTCACTATGTTTAAGATAATCAAAATATAGATGGGAAAATAGAGAAATTATGCAAGACCATCATTTCATACAAATCACTTACAAAATTACCCTGCGCAAAGGTATACATACTCGCACACATACACCGTCTTAAACAATTTGTCAGATTTCTCAACATATCTGATATAATACATTTAATTTTCTGGCATAAATCAAAATGGTATATAAGAAGTATAATTCACTTAAGCAAAGCTGATCCAATATTTGGTATATAGAGAATACTGTATATAAGTTTAACCATGGCAAAAATCCATCTACAATGGTACTAATCAGCAGCTTATTCTAAAATTTCCACTTGTACTTTCCGACATGCAACAAGATTTTAGCATTTGATTTGTTATTTCATAGATGTTTAATATTTGAATGTTCAACCAGCAAAAAACACCACATCATTCAAGATTATAAAATGGTTCACTATGGTATATATTTTTGTCTTAAAGTAATTTCATTAATAAAACAAAAGAACACTAATTACACTAAAATCGGATCAATGCAAGGCATGTATTCTCAGAGGAGACATGGTGAATTGAAAATGATCAATACTGCAGTAAGATGATACTATTCTATAGGATGACATATAAACTGCATGATATAAATGCAATAAGATGATAATGACATAATCATACAATTGTCCAAAAATGTGGAATTCTTAATATGTATCACACAAGTATCAAATTGGAATTCTTAGTAGGGATATGGTAGCTTTAGTAGACACCCATTATTTGCCACCATCAAATTTGTATGAAAACTCAGTAGAGATTACAATTTACATGCAAAAACCGAAATGTATACTTGTACATAGTTTGAAAATAAAACATAATTATTCTATCTGTAAACATAATTTTCATTCATGCAAATTAGGGTATGCGGCAGCATATCATTATTAAATGTCATTATAGTTGTCAAAATCTTACAATATCAATGTAATTGTAGCACATATCAAAATTCAACACATATCAAAGTGAGTGATGAAATAATGTTAATTCAATGGGTATGGCACATATCGGTACACATATCGTGAATTTTGTCATAAATTCAAATGTCAATGAACAAGCTTTGGTGGTTTGTTGGACACTGCCCGAATAGCTGCAGGGTTTAAGTCAGCCAATCGGACCCAACGAGCATTTTGAGAAGGCTCTCCAACAAAGTGAACAAGATATTCCACATTAGATCCAGTCCCTCGTTGTGCTAAAACTCGTTTAATTTTGTAGTAGCTATGGTCACTGGAGGAAGAGGACGATGAAGAAAGATCCACATTGCTGGAATCGCGAAATCTAACAGGTTTCTTGATAATGCGACGCGTGCGTGGCAACACACTATCAGGGTGACCAGAAAGGTCAACAGTTTCAGATTTTGGTCCATGATCCAATCCTGATGACTCCAGAGGAAGGTGAGAATCTTCCATGTGCGAGGAATCGTCCAAAGAGAACTCCTCAATAGTTGATAAATGTGAATCCCTTTCATTTCTGGCAGAAAGATCCAGCACAACATCCTCGGTTTGTACTGCAGAATCCACCTTGACAGTGGATGTTATACGGAAATAGTCTGTTGGGGTGGGGGCACGCACATAAGCACATTTCAGTCTGTCTACATGTACAGGTTTTGATCCAACCTTGTTAGTCTGAGGATCACGAATCATCACCATGTGGTCAGAAAGTTTGTCATGAACAACATAAACTCCTTGATAAAGGTTTTGTAGCTTTTGTCCTGTTCCTGTTGGTTGTTTATACAGATACACATAATCACCAACACCAAATTGAATAGGGCGAGCCTTTGTATTAGCTTGATCTGTCATCCTAGTTTGAGACTGGGTGACATTGTCGAGCATAATGGTACGAATCACCTCCATCTTCTTGCTGACCGTGTCCACATATGTATGAATGTCCACAGGTAGATTGTCCAAAGTAGCTGTGATATTGTTGAGAGGAAACGCAGGACGCTGGCCAAAGATGATCTCAAATGGTGAGTATCCAGATGTGGAGTTTACAGCACTGTTCATTGAAAATACAATGACAGGCAATATTGCTTCCCAGTTATCTTTTGCAGTGTTCATGAAGGGAGTCAATTTGGTAGCAAGAACACGGTGTGTGCGCTCGCAAGCTCCCAAACAATGGTGTACATAACTGGGAGTGAAGTCTTGGTGAATCTGAAGAAGGCGACAAGTTTCTTTGGTAGCTTTAGCAATGAATTCCGATCCCTGATCGGAGACAAAGGTATCGCAGACACCAAAGTTTGATACTAATTGAAAGATCGCACTTCCAACGGTTAGGGCATCAGAATTAGCAATGGCGACAGTGAACAAGTACTTGGAGAACATGTCAACGGCTGTGAAAATATATGATTTCCCTGATGACGAAATGGGGAGCGGTCCATATAGATC